ATATATATATATATATATATATATATATATATATATATATATATATATATATATATAACTATCAAACATTGAGATCCATATAGTGAAAAAATAAAAATAAACATAAAAAACTATTTAAGTAGGTTGGGATTTATGCATGGCAGCATGTGTATAAATTTCATTTTATTGTACATGCACAACAGCATTAAATAAAATTTGCAGTCAAAATTTGTGTATACATTTCTTGCAGTCAAAAATAAATTTAGAGTCAACCTGTCAAGATTTAAGGAACAAATGCTGATTAATTTTGATTTGTTCAACTGTGTAATAGCACACGGGCTTCTTGCAATGTTTGCTAAAGAAACAAGTCAACTCATCACAAACTGACATAGAATGAACCTTTGATTCAAGTGTCTATCCAATCTAACATTATTCAAGTGTGACTCAGCACATAGACTTCTTTGATCATTGCAATAATAATACATCGACGAATTCAGGTGAGTTCAGCAGCATAGCACTCAACAGATGTTTCTTAATCATTTAATGTGGCAGGTCACAGAAGGAATGGCTGATTTATTTGATTACATGTTCAGTAGAAGCGAGCATCAGAAGTTGTTCAGATAAGTTGGGTCAACTGAGCAAACATAGCATAGCATCAGAGAATTGACTCCAAGCAAAACCCATGTTGGCTATTGCCACTGAAGATCGAGTCTTCTATGAGGATTGGAAGAGAATGGTCTTCTACTGAAGTTGAAATACACAGATGGATGATCAGATAACTTTGCATCCAAGGAATGATTGTTTCCAACTGAGATCATGCACTTCACTTCTGACCCTTGCTTAAAAATGTAGGTGTCAATGTAACAATTCCTATGAAGAAGATTGTAGCTATTGATTGGAAATCATACAGGTCGGCCACCGACTTTAATTCACCAAGAGCTGTTCCTGCCTGCGAATCAAACAAGGTGATCAGTACCTACTTGGGCAATTTCATGATGAAGCAGAACGGAAGGAATGATACCCGCACGGTGACGTATGCTGCAGGGATGAGCCCAATTGAAGTAGCTAAGAAGAAAACACGGTAGGGCACATTGACTATGGGAGAAGCCATGTTAATGAATGTGTTCGGCAGTGTCGGCGTGACTCGAAGGAACAGCAGGTAGTTAAACAACTTCTCTCTTCGTTTTGCAACCTGTCAGCACAGATACTGCATCAAGCAGATTAAGATGCAATGTAAGATGCAGAGAAATGATGAAATACTATTTTGTAAATTGTGAGGAAAGGATGTGCAAGATAAACAAAGATTTCAAGATTTCAAATGATCAAAATCTAACATAGCAATGAGAAATCACAGTTCAACATTCAAGGTCATAAGTATAAATTTAATGCCTAAATAAATTGGTAAGAACAAATTGAGATGTCTATGCTAATGAGAGAACATAGGCGATATCATATATGCAACACTTAGATTGTTTGCTGCTGTAGAAAATTTAAATTGAAGATTTTCTAGATGGTACAAGCAAGATGAATCAAACGAATCCCTTAGAACATAAGGCAGTGTTTCTCGTACCACAACTATTAAATCAGAATGGTTATAAACATGAAATTTCAAGCACTCAGTAAGCAAGATTGAATTAAACCAATTTTAAATTTCAAGTCCTAGTTATTATAAAGGACTCTCATGAAACTTATGGTAGCAACACATAATGTTCTTCCAGTTTACCTGAGCCTGGAAAAAAGTCAGCTTTTCTGGCCACAATGAGAAAACCAGGGGCCTTCCTATCATCTTCGACAGGAAAAAACAGGAAGAGGCACCGGCAGTTGCAGCAACAATCACCAAAACCATGCCTCCAGCAACTCCAAAGAGGGCTCCAGCTAGTAGTGACATAAACACAGTTCCTGGGATCATGAAGGTCTGCATAAAGATGTAAACTGTAAAGTAGCACATCAAGACCTGCATAGTGTAGTCGCTTGTGTAGCTTTCTAGATGATCCCTGCACATGGTTCAAAATTCTCAGCGTTTGTTTTGGTTCATAAAAAAATTCCAACTTATGCAAGAGAATATTTGAAGTGGACAAAGTTCTTAAGGCATAATTGTTGAATTTAGAAATACTAAGTTTGCAGTTAGTAACTGTGGCTAGTGACCTAAATAAAGTAAAAGAAAATCTAGCATACCTTGTCTTTATCCAATTTGGAGCTGCTAGGATCAGAACCCACAGAATGTAAAAAAGTATAGAAAGCTGAGGTTGTACAAAGCTGACATATGGGCACATGATGGCACACCACCAGCAATATAACACAGATACAGTGATGGTAACAAATAAATTGGCATGAGGTAGTGTGTCCACTCCTCTAACCTCAGCTTTCTATACTTTTTACTAAGTTTGCAGTTAGTAACTGTAGCTAGTGACCTAAAGTAAAAGAAAATCTAGCATACCTTGTCTTTATCCAATTTGGAACTGCTAGGATGACAAACCACAGAATGTAAAAAGTATAGAAAGCTGACATATGGGCACATGTAGTGTGACCACTCCTCAAACCATTTTGCATCTGATTTTTGACCAGAACTAGTGTTACATATAAGAGGTACAACTTTCTACAATTTAAATTTTAAGATAAAAATTATTCAAGAGTGGGAAAAGGGAAATCCTAATCTTCGGGCCCAAGTGAATTATGAAAGAGTTTTGCCATGAAATTTGGAAGAAGACATCCACTAATGTGTACTTTTAGCAGCTTTCTTTGACCTAATGGCTGCTGACATATGACTCATAGGTTCTAATCTTTGTCAATTTTCTTAAAGACATTGAGTAGTCCGATGTCAATTCAATTTACTGCACAACTTCAACATGGTCTGGGTCATTGCTTCACATGCGCAATAAATATACATAACCTTTTTTCTACTTCTTTCTAGAATTAACAAATAACTTAGTTCATCCCATGCAAATATTAACCAAGCCAAATTATTTTGAGTAAATTTTCATTATTATTCTAAAAAGTTTAAGCCAAATTCTATGAAAGTTAGATAGATCATAAGCAAGCAAATAAACCAAAAAGTGGTACTTGACAGAATAAGGTAGCCATCTCTGCCTACCCAGAAAGACCACTCGGCTGTGCTCAGAAAAATTACCAATCTTTCTATGAATCTACAGAGCATTCTTCTTCAAACAACTATCCTCTTGTCTTGACAAATTCTAACGCACGGAAGGTTAGCTCATGGAATCAAAATGTGAAATATGTACATTGTTCTTCGTAAAGATACTGTAAATTGACGATTACGTAGCTCATTACCCGTTTACACATTCACCAACTCAATTCACCGAAGCAATGCAATATTCAAAAGAAATCCAAGAAATAAGATCCACATAACAATATAGGTACTGTTCCATTCCCTTCATCGAGATCTAATCGGTGAAGAACAAGCAGAACCGAATCAAGAACCCAAACAATCAAGCCACCCGAAAGACACCCTCGAACGCCAAAACATAAAAAAGCACGCGAACTTTAAGCCAAAGATGAGCTATCGACGACGAGGAAAGCATATCCGGGTCCAAACCTGAGGATCCGGAGGTCCTCGAGGGTGCGAGGGAGTTTAAGGAAGCGATAGTCAGAGGCGGGCATCGTCAGGTACAGCCCCACGAGCCCCAACATGTAGCTCGCCAAAACCCCCGTGGCCGCCGCCACCTCCAGGCGCGACAACGGGAACCTCCGACGGCCGCCCATCTCCCGGCTTCCCCCCACCCTGTACAGATCAGACCCCGTTCCCACGGAAAGAAAACGGCGATGCAGGAGGGGAGAGGAGGAGGAGGAGAAGGAGAAAGGAAACGAAAGCCTCGTCCTTTCTTCTTCCGCTGCCGTTTGGAGGAGGGGAAGGTGGTGGTTTGTTATGAGGAGTTTAGCAGATAGCGTGTTCCGCAGGGGCAGAGGAACCCGTGGCGAATATTCTCCGTCACCGTGGTATCAGACGCAACGGAAACGTGTCGGTCAGTTTCTTCACGTTACCGTTACCTCGAGTCGGATCCGTGTCACCTGTCCCGTCCGAAGCCACCGAAGTCCTATTTCGACAGAACCTGTTGGCGGGGCCCAACTGTTGACGAATCATGCGTCTAATTATGTCTGTTTGGCCGCTCGGTCAAGACAGAGAGACAAGACATAGGAGCGCATGTGCTTCACAACAGCGGTTCCTTGAGAGACTTGCGTCTCATCGTGTCATATGCAAACGTGAGTCACGGACGTGAAGAAAAGCACCACCTGGTATTATAACCCCATTAAATATTACGATCATAATCATATAAGTCATCAAAATATTACCACCTGGTATTATAACATTCGACTTCAACGTCAACAACAGCATCAATTAATAATAGATAAATTATATATAAATATTGGATTTGTCTCAGATAGATATTTATACGAATTGTAATTATTGAGATGTTTGACTGCTATCATAAAACAAACATATCTCGAGTTATTTGGATACCAAGAAGCCAATGATGGCAACCAACAAATCATATATCTTTAATTTTAGTTTTCAAACTTCTAATATCTGGAATAAGTATGTGAACACATCAAACACAACCAAGAAATTTAAATAAATGCAAGCATCATTTTGAAATATTAAGTTTCCTTCAATTTCTTCCGCAAATACTTATTAAAAAGAAGCCAACAAAGTATACTATTTAATGGCATTAAAATGATAAAACATGTCAAATTATGGCCTAATGGAATATGAATGACAAACTTGCAAACCAAGAAACTGCAAACGACTGCAAAAATAGATGCTCATTGTCCATAAAGTTAAAAGAGGTGATGCCCCTTTACATTTTAATTTTCAGAACTAATCGGGCCGAACTCAAAAGGAGGAATGCTAAAACCGAAACGACAAGTTCTAAGAACAACATGATTAAGAAGTTTGCAGATTAATAGAGATTACATATACCTAATATTGCCAGCCGTATAAAATCTAGTGAAAGATGGCTGCAACTGGCTAAAGACTCTGCATCATTGAAGCAGTTCTGACCTTCCACAATAATTGAAGAACATTACACCTTCATGCTGCATCATGATCCATCGAGTTGCCAGAAATCTGAACAGCAGGATTGGCCGATATCTCTGAACTAGTCATAACTGTTTCTGAACTCAAACCACCAGATGCATGATCGGTCACACTTGGATTTACATTTACATTGTCCACGTGAGCATCTGCGTTAGAGACACTACCATCTACTACAAGGTTGCCAGAGTCGACCAACTCCAACCCAACTTGCTGATCGTCATCCTGAGCCATCTGACTGCCTATGTCAGAAGCAGAAGCTTCATTTGTGTTTTGCAAAGACAAAATAGGTTGTGTCATTGATGCAGCAACTTCTTGATTACTGACATCTGAAATTGTTGCATCCTCCATGCCAACTGAAGCACCAACAACATCTGAGTTTAAAACACCAGAATCAGCTTGAGGAATAACACCGGTGCTTTCAACCAGAACAATGGGGAGCATGTTGTCATCAACTGGGTTCAGAGTCATCTTATCATCAACCATCATTTTCTCTTCGGTACCAAGCTGAGGCACGTCACCAGATACAATAACACTATTGGCAACAGGCATCTGCTCCTTGAGATCATCCGTACCATTAGAAATAATACCCACACAATGGGTAGCTTCACCTTGAATAGGCTCTTCGTTAGAAGTGCCATCTTCAGCATGATCTGAATCAAGATGATCCTTCTTATCTGCCAGTTCCTCATTCATTGCATGATTGTTCGCTGCCGTTTCTTCCTGAGTAACATTTTTCTCAGCAGCTTCCTCCACAGGAACAGGATTCCTTGCAGCAGCTTCCTCCTCAAGAGCACGATTCATTGCAGCAGCTTCCTCCTCAAGAGCACGATTCATTGCAGCAGCTTCCTCCTCAAGAGCACGATTCCTTGCAGCAGCTTCTTCCTCAAGAGCTCGGTTCCTTGCAGCAATTTCTTCTTCCATACGCAGCCGCATCTTATGTTCCTCCAACAGCCTTTTAACTCTATCATGCTCAGCCAAGAGATCCCCATAACGATGCTGTAGATTCTGTTCTAGTGCTTTTTGCTTGGTGACTTCTTCAACTAAGCTATTAACTCTGTAAGTAGCTGCTAGCAGTTCCTGCTTTTGTAACACTTGAAAGCATTCAAGTTCTGTTGCAGCGGTATCCACTTGCTTGAATGTGGCCTCCACCTGTGACCATAATTTTCCAGCCCTTGCCTGCTCATTCAGAAATGAAGAGAATTAAACTGATATCAGGCTGACAATGAGAAGCAAAGAATCACGAAAAGGAAATGAAACGGCAAAATTTTTGGACAAAAATAGTTTTCAGTATGTTTAAGCATCCAACTGGTCTTTCACCGAGACAAGCAAGGGTACAAAATTTTATTAGCATCGTTGTCAATAAAATCTTGTTCGAAAAATTTAGGCAAAATTGTCAAAGTCACATGACATTTCAGGGGAAATAAATACTATATTGAAAGCAGAAAAATGATTATAGCATACTTGGTAACCATGCGTGAGAATTTTAATTTTCTGTTCAAGTCGTGTTGCCCTCTTTGCTTCATCATCCATTCTCTTCTTCACAATCTCAAATTCATTTTGTAAAGCAGCAAGTTTCTCATTGTTCCCAGCAACACTTGCAAGACCATAGGTACTACGAGCAGGAAAAAACATGAGATCTTCCTGGCATGCATCACGTGCTTTGACAAAATCATCAAAAGACTCATTCTCATGCCCCATCACCACTCGCAAAAACTGAATTTCTTCCTTTATCAAAGAATCAGCCTGCAAAAACAGCGAATAACAATTACATAATTTCCGATGATGTGCAGGCTTCCACAAGAATTGAGGCATAAACAAGCAAGAATATCAAAAATATGAAGTTGTAATTTTGGAATGAAAATTGCAGATATATCACTTTGGAATAAGTTTTCTGTGTAGTATATATAGAGAGACAAATTTTGTAGCCGGACTATGGAAAAGTACATTGAAAAGAGGTACACGAAACTATATATATATAGTAGACAAGAACAGAAGCAATGTGTGTACCAACAAACATGATATTGGTTCAGCCACAGAGGTCCATTAGGCTTAGAGAGAGAATTTCAGCCAAGAGAAACATAAGATTGCCAGAAATCAGCCATACAGGTGCCTTACTTTCCTTTTGAAGTTTTCCAAGAAATCCAATTAGAGTTCAACCCTCGTACAATCAGAGGTTACACAAGCAGGGACTAAATTGCTTAGAGAAACATTTAAATGCGTTACAATGAAAGGTGCAGGCTAGCACCTCATGAGCAGGATTTGGCTTCGACTAAACCTGCTAATGGCTAACTTTGCTCAGTAAGTCATTTACCAGTACAAAAAGGATTAGACAGCCCTGTCTGAGAGCATACAACTCCAGATGAATCCTGTTCATATTGCTAGACATATTCAGACAATAAGAAAATCAGTGAACAGCGCCACGGACACAATGAGGAGCTTAGTAGCTGTTTTACCAAAAACTATGAAGCAAAAGGAAAAGTTGTTAGGGAATTGATGGAAGTCTAATATAGTTAGGATTAGAAAGAGCCATGCAAACTCTTCCACGAAACTATTGTTCCTCTTCAGAGTCTTGAGTCTTATGAGGCATCACTAAACATACTCAATGAGAATGACTGGAAATCAATCCCATGAGTTCTACGAGGAGCACAATACCAGTATCACCAAAAACTATGAAAAATGGTAAAAGGGAAAATGTTATTGATGGAAGTCTGATATAAGTAGGATTAGGTTTACTTTAATCTAACAGAACTCTTGTAACCCTATCCTCGAACTACAATTCATCTTATTTATTTGTCCAGCATTAAATAAGTTATTTTACTTTAGTTTTAACTTATAGAGGCTTTTCTCTTCCTCCGCCTAGAGAAACACCAAATAGGAGATGTCATCCCCAACAAAATGCTGATATCATTAAAATAAAAACAGCAAGCTCAGCCTCAATTCTTCTACAGCTTCATTTATTTCCTTTTTAATTTCTCTTATTTTTCATGTTCTCTCAACAAGTGACAAACTTATGTATATTTAATTAAAGAACAGTGTACTGGCTCTATGTTTATACTTATTTTATTTGCAGGATCAATTTGGTTATCAAAAAATGGATACTGTTAGATGTCTTTCTTTTTAAAGTGGCACTACCAAAGTGAAAATCAAAAGAACACTGGTATTTTTGTGATGTAAAATTGTTTGATCGGAGTAACTGAGAGATGACACAAACTTCCTAGATTCTCTCTCTAACCATAGACATTAACATCACAGGCCATTCTTGAGAGGCCAATCGACATATCATCGAAAACTGTTAAATTTTATTCAAGTAACTAGAAAATGGGGGCCCAAATGGTCAGCAATGCAGACTTTTAGAGTTGGCCGTCCAAACTGCTAGTCAATGATCATCGGCCACTGGTTTCCGAGAGGGCACTATATGACCAAAGAATGTTATCCCTGCCTTGAATTTCCAAATTCCAGCTTGTATTGGTGTATGGCTGGGGATTTTTAATACATATTAGCAGTTTAACCTGAAATACTCAACACCATTATCCTAGAATTTAACCCAAACCCCCATATTTTGGGCAGATGACAGGAATCACTATGATGCCTAATCTCAGTTGGAGATTACAATTGTTTGAATGAAATCCTACGAGTTCAACATACCTATTAAGTCTTCAGGCCAAATAGAACCTTAGTGGCCAAATAATGTTACTTTCTTATTCCTTTTATCAGTATTACCAAATTATTGCTATCCAATATCAAACATGAGTTTTGATGATTAATATGACCGCCACCATCTCAATTTATTCTTATATAGTTAAGGCCTGTTAATGTCATTGATGAGAATAAACATCATGAATAAATTCTGTCTAATAGTGCTTTTCTAATCACT